TTTACATCTGTGTTAAACAACAGTTACCGTCGTTACAAACCCTAATAATGAATAATTTAATTTTCTTCAGGCTGTTAACAAATTACTTCACCGTGGTCGAGGGGTTTGTGCGCTCGCTTAGGAAGCGAGAGGTCTGGCGTTCAAATCCCAGTTAAGGCAACTCATTTTTTTTTTCAAATTGTTTAAGTCAAATAAACATTAGATTGAATATCAGTGTTTAAGTTAGTCTAATAGCCAATTTACTACAGTTAAAACGCTGGAAAGCATTGGTGGCACTTTACAAAAACAAATTGGTTTATAATCTCACAACTTTCACCTTTCTGACATTCTGAGACCGAAACAAATTCAGCGCCTTCTGTGCTTTGATTTATTAAAGCTGCATAACACCAGACAAGCCTAAATATTAAAAGAAAATCAGTCTTTTAAAAAAAAATATTTAAAAACCGTTAAAGACTCAAGAATCAAGAAGTCGGTAACATGTTATATGCGACAAATGACTAATTTTGCAGTATTTGTCATCATATTTCCACTGCATGACTAGCACAGTAAGAGTTGTTCTTGCACATTGTGACCACTTTTGGCAATTAATATGTGTTGTAAGTGCCGAAAAGTAATTGTTTTTTAAAGGATAATTAAAGATTGACGATTAAGATAAAATTGTTCGATATGTCTACTTTATAAGAATATACTTTCTATACTTAAGAGTATATTTTAGGTGTAAAATGTTACCTCTAGATATTTAAAATATACAACTAGTATGTAAGCTATTACAGATTGAGTCTGTATTATGTTTTGTATGCTTAAGTAAGACAATTATTAATTTATGTATATACAGATGTGTAGAAAATCAAGTTGAAATAAGCACATATTCACCACGGTAATATGTGCTGTTGTGTTATCTGTCAAAAAGAGAACAAAACTTTATAACTATACAACTTTACTAATCTTTAATGATACACTTAAAAAGTGTGGATACAGTAGAAGCCAAAGTTGACATTTTAATTTATTCCAGCAGGACCTAGATGTACAATATAACAGTATATGGCTATTTTATATATCGTCACCTTAGTTTATTATAATTAAAATAATATTTAATTTGTAATTGTTTATAATATATAATATCAACTATTGTAAGTTTATATCACTATAAGAATACTTGAAGAATTTATACAAGTGTTTTTAAGAAGAGAACATAGCTCCTTGTGCCTGTACAGCTAATGCACAAACAACCTTCCAGTAATAAATGCTAAACGTTAATAGCAACCTTTACCAATAAAGTCAATGGTTTCACTATTATTATAACATATCCTGTTATGTATTATATGAGTACTATTTCTAAACAAAATAATTTAAATTGAAGAAACGTTTGCATCTATTCTTTTTTTCAGTTTTATGAAAGTTCGAATCAGCAACCTTGAGCTTATTATGACAGGGTATAATCTATTTTGAAATGAAACAGAAATTTAAGGGAAAAATCGGATGTGAAGGCATATTAAAGAAGAAATATATTATAAACTTTGTAGCCTTTCTTGATTGCATAAAGAGAATTAGAATCAATCGGGTTTTGGTTAAGTAAGTATAAAGATAAAGATATACTGATTACTTTTGATTTATGCGAAAAGGTTCCTCGTAGGACAAAATTTACACGTAGGAAATTAATCAGAAAAGAGTAGCATATAAATGAACTACTTATTCGATTTTTTTAAAGATAAGTTGCACATACGAATATAATGTACATATAAACATGATAAATTATATATAGAAATTTATCACATAAACCGCGGCGCAGGAGTGTAATAAAGCCATTTAATAAAAACGATATTACACTAGTCAATATTACACTAGTGTAATAACACTTTGACGTCACGTAATTTGCGCTATAAACATAACGTTAAAGCGCGCTAATGTTAGCGTTACACTATCGGCGCGTCAAAGAAAAATGACTCTTGTTAACAGTTTACCGTTCTTATTTTATATTATGTGATAAATAGAACATTATATTCGTGTAGATTCAATACTAAATTTATTGAACTCGTTGAATAAAACAATATTATGCTCGCCAGAGGCTCGCATAATATGATTTTATTCACCTCGTTCAATAAATTTAGTATTAAACCTACACTCATTCAATATCCTCTATATATCTATCATATCGGTTCTTATCAAAAAGCACATGAAACAAATATAAAAGAGATTACTGAAAGGTAAAATGAAGCAAAACTGAATCATTTTCCAAACTAAGGAAAAGTTTTGGTTAAGAAGTAACAAATGAGAACATAACTAAGAAGACAACATCAGAAAGGAAAAATTAAAACAATAAAGACCAATATCCTTACCCATACGAGGGCATGGCTGTAATGGTTGACAGTTTTTCAATAATTTTATTTGGAATTCTTTCTTTCACGTTTTCTTTTGCAATGATTTTTATGATTTTATAAACATTAACTTATTTGTGTGTTTTATCTACAAATGCTAAACAATAACATAAAACATTAAAACTGTTAACTGCATTTTACTCACATTTATTATTATAATAGTCTTAACTAGCAGATAAATATCAAATGTGTGCTATTCTAGGCTGACGTTTAAGCTCATTACAATAAATTTGCCATATACTTTTTTCAAATACAATTACGGCAAAAACGCTACTAATAATGAACTGTTTAGAAATAATTTACATTCATATTGTTTCAGACTGCAATATAAGTATTTGTGTATCACATTATTTCAATATTTCCTCGTCATAATAAATGATACCGATGTAAAGCCTCTAAAGATGTGTTTTTCTAAACATACACAATACCAGAGTTACAAAGATATAAATCGAAAAGTTATACAGATACATTTAAAGTATATGTATTTTTAGAAGACTAAATATAAAGAATATCCCAAATAATAAATTATCGCAGAAAGGTTAACATGGAAAAAAAATCATTTAATTGAACTTGACGTATACTTTGTTTAGGATTAAATATCTGGTTTGAATATCTTTATGTTAAATATAAATATGCAGTCATGCCACTAAGCAAACTGATTTACAATTGAACATTATTTATGCTGCCATTCATATGTATTGAAAATTGACAAATTTCAGTAAAATTATGTTTCATAGCATAATTATGATTGTGATTATGTAAGATCATTGTGTGCTTACCATTTTCGCCCATCAGTTTATGATTTAAATATTGTCATTTTAATAAAAGTTCTATTTCTCACGGCGTGCTACTTAAATTTCATTCAAAGTATTACACTAATATTTTTTAGCGTAACATTAATTAAATATAATCACATAGTAACTAACAAAACACCTTTTTGTGAATAGTTGAAACTCGCGTATTACTAGAATTTCTTTTGGTTCCTTTAGTACATATATTCCGGTGAAAAAAAAAACACTTCTAAATTTTGTAAGATGAATATATGAATCTAATTGAAGCACTTCCCATGTTGCCATCACTTAAGTTTAAGGGTGTTGGAAAGACACGCCTTGTTGATTTATTTTTTCTACACGATTTTCATAAAATGCGAATTTATTTATGACTACTTGTTCGAGATAAAGATAGTTTATAAACTATACGCCCAAGTTCTTAAAATGAATAAATAAATGACGAAAGTAAGATAAGAATTATTTTGTTTTTCTTTTAATTATATGTCTAACTTTTTCTTCATAAGATAAGGTTCGGTAAGAGGGATTTAAAATGTTTTTAAGCTACAACTTGATTTTTTACAATTTACGTGATATTATTGTTCGTATCTTTATTAATTATTATCAGGAAACACTGAAAATCAAGGAAATCAGTCTGAAATCACTTTATGTAACACATTTTAAAAGTTAAAAAACTACAAGCTCAGTCAACAGCTACAAGTAGTTTTCACAAAAGTTTTGAATTTTCAGAATGTAAGTAAAATGGGCAAAAACATAAAAATCTAGATACAGCAATAATGAAATGTTTCCTAATTATTAATTATATTTAGTAATTTTTAAGTTTTGGTCCATTGATAGCAACAACCTCAATCGAAGTATAAAGAGAACAATTAACTGTCTCTTTCAATGGCATTATTAAACCAATAATTTGTGTTACGAAAACGTTTTTAAATATAACGGATGTTTCAAATATGTTTGCTTGGTAGCCTTTTACAAGTAAGTATTTATGGCATACTAGAATAACCAGTCTTCCGTTAACTTGATGAGTAACTTACTGTCCTACATATAACCATTAATCTCAATGTGATTATTTTTGTCTGGTCCTTCAGGATGATTGAATATAATATTTAATTGTATTGAAAAACGAAAACAGCCTAAGAAGGTGCTGGCGGGTGTGGTAAGTGGTTGAACCCATCAGGGTCTCTCATGAACAGTCTCGATCAAATCGAGTCTATTATTTTTCATCTGTTTTTTTCTAGAGTAATATCACCTTTCCATGACTTTTATGACAATACCAAAGAATAGTTATTTTAAAATCACGTATGATGAAACAATCGGTATTAAAGTTCAAAACATCATTTTTTTTATAACAAAAGATCATTCTATGAGATTTTGGCATGAATTGTATGTATTTCATTTCATAGAATCATGCTGATTTGTTACTAGTAGTGATGTAACTTCATTCTCATTTGGGAGGTAGCGTTTTATATAAGGAAATTTCAAACTGTTTCCCTCAAACTGTTTCTAAAGGATATCCTTCAAATCCGTATTTCAGTGCATTTCTGCGAAACAACTATACTAAAGAATATATTACGGGCCTCATACTCAAATAACAAAGAAGATTTCCTTGTATTAATACAACAGTTTCTCTAAGCGAGTCGGATTAAGAGACTTTCTCAGATTTTATTTTTCAACTGTCGCAATGAAAATGAGGTTCTCACTGTCATTTGTGTTTGTTATTGTCGTTGGAATATATAGTTATAATCTTTCTGAGGCTAGAGAGCCTGTATGTTCTAAATTTGCATATGAAGAACAGCTTTTAGAGAAAATGATAAGAACTGAAATTAAGGTAGAAACAATGGTAAATGAAATTAAGAAAACTGAGGATAATGTCATCAGTACATTAGGCGACATAAAACGAGCAGTTTCAGATTTTACGGACATGTTTGCAGACATGAAGGGGAACATAACAGACGAAATGTTAAAGAGAAGTGACGAGATAAAAAGGAGAGAAGGTAAAAGATAAACACCAGATCTTCATTATAAGAAAATTTATACATGTATACTTAAATATTACTGATGTAATACGAAAACTGACGTATATCTTTAGCATATAATTAATTAACGATTGTTGTTTAAGTCTGAATCAATATAACTTAAAAGTTCGTAATGCTTTATGAAATATGAATTGAGAAAATTGGTTAAATGATAAATGCGTGGAACATTTAATATTCAAAGAATTATAAGCTTTAAAAAGAAGACATTTCATGCACCGGTTACAATGCTGACATAATTATCTAACTAAAATTTCTATGTTTATAAAAGTAGAATATGGCATAACTTATATTGCTGGAAAGTTTATATATTTTCAGTTTGCTTAACCCGTCACAATACAACACGCATCGTAAAATTACATTATTATAATCATAAATCAACAAATGAATTAAGGGAAAGTGAAAGAGAAAACCATAAATAAAACGACAACAGTAAAAAAGGTAAATTTCCACTTTTAAATTTTCATTGACAATTAACAGCCTCGTGCACAACCTTTGGCTAGTACGAGCATGAACATTTATAAAACTTATAAGGGACATCAGTTTATTGTTACCTTTCTGCCCTATTCTTCCTAGTGTCTATATCAAGCTCTTTCTATTTGGTGCGTCAAAGAAATGCTGTATTTTTAAATTAAGTTTGCGATATTTATGTCTGTGTGTATACTTCTGATGTTTACAAACAATTACAGTGAATATTAATGTGAAATGAATTACAGTGAACATTTATGTTGAACATACCAATATAAACACATTTCCATGAAAGAAATGCTGTCTCATCACATTAGTTTTTCTTATTAGATACATGTTCCCTGACCTTTTATTACATTTATTCTATATTGAATTATGTTATGAAATGGCTATTTAGTCAGCTAATAGAACATCAAAATTTGAGCGAGGAAAATCAAAATTTATTATTTATTAGAATGCAAGTTGTTTTTTCTTCCCTTAAGTTTTATTTCAGAAGTTACATTACCGGTTATGTAAAACTTAGTTTCGAATCAAGTTCCGTGTTATCAGCAACACTTTCTGCAGACAGTTAACACAAAATATCACATATAATACTTATTGAACTTTGATTACCGTTCGTAATTGTATTTTAATATTATTTTTACAGGATCCTTCAACAACTTATTTGAGGAGACAAAAACAAACCTCACGAGTGACATGGGAGCTAAAAGAGAAGAACTTACTCATCTACAAGGTATTATTTCTTCTTTCTCTTCCATCTGATGATTATTTTCCATAACTTTGTTTTGATTTTATTATTCAGTTGATTTTATTATTTAGTTCGATCTTTTGAAGTTCATTCACGTACAATATTTTACCAATTATCGGTATGAGTATTTTTTTTATATTCGACTAACCTGTTGCTGTAACCATAGACTAGTAGTTCCTTTCATCGTACAACATATTCAATTACATGTATAATTACATTTCATCGTCTTTATTTTACAGACAAGTTTTTATAATAACTCTTATATATAAGAATGCCCCTTAATTTCAGGAAAAAACTTGAACGCCCTCTCGTCGCTTTCCATGCACATCACGTGGCAGATTTATTATTAGGATTTTTCTTAGGGAAATTATCTTATTCCGTTTATACCATATTCTTTGAAATTGAACTATGTCAGAAAATGACTTACATGACAGCCATTAGAAATTCGGAAAAAAAAAAATTTGATTATAGAAAAAAGCAAGGAAAATCAAAATGCATAATATAAGAATGCAGGTTGTTTTTCTTCACTTAAATTTTTATTTCTGAAGTTAAACTACTGGCTATGTAAAATTAGCTTTCGAAGTTCTGTGTTATCGGCAACACATTTTTCATACAGTTCATATGTAGACATAATAACATTTACAATACTTATTTAATTTTGAGTTATTGTACTTTGATACATTTTTACAGGATCCTTGAAGAAATTATTGAGGAGACAAGAACAAACCTCTCGAGTGACATGGAAGCTAAAAGAGAAGAACTTACTCAACTTCAAGGTATTGTTTCTCATTTTACTTTCACGTGATGATTTATTTTCAAAACTGTGTTTTGATTTTATGATTAAAATGGTTTTATTATTCATTTGTGTGTTTTGAAGTGCCTTACAATATCTTATAAATAATCAGTTTAATTTGTTGATGTAACTATATACTAGTCCTTCCCATTATTGTTCAACAGACTCAATTACATGCATATTTTCTTATTTTGAATACATTTCATCACCTTTTTGTTACAGATATGTTTTTATAATAACTGTAATATATCAGACTTTTTTATACTCAGAAAAACTTGAACGACCTACGATCGCTTTCCATGCACATGACGTGGCAGACTTGCTTCTTGATAAAACAAATGAGATTGTTATATTTACGAAAAGTGTGATTAACGAGGGAACAGGTTACGACACATCTACTGGGGTTTTTACAGCACCCGTTGGAGGACTATACCAGTTTTTTGTTCATACATGTGTTTTTAAAGGAAACTATGCTTTTATTGGTATAGTGTTGGACGGTAGAATTATTGCAGCAAATAAAAACTATGATAATGATTATTACACTTGTAGTACTGTTGGTGCAATAGTGAGAGTACAGTCAGGTGAAAAAGTTTTGGTCAAATCAACATCGTCAAGTTCTAACCGCCGGCTGCATCAATACTCACTGAATGTGAACACATTTAGTGGGGTACTTGTCAGTAACTGAATGAATAAATCATTTAACTTTTGTATATGACATTTATATATCTGAAAGTTTTATAAATATTTATACAATGATTATCGTCTGACGAATATGTTGATTATCAAGTTTAGAAAAGATAGTATTTTTCTGTATTTATAATTACACGTATATAACTGTATTGTTGCATTTTCAAATAAATATGGTATGTATACATTTGTACTTATATATTTTTTCTTTTCTTGGCACACACTATCATCATCATATATAATATCCCAGGTTGCAATTAACTGTTGGAGGAAAAGGGAGATGTATGTGTGTCTGTTTGTTGTTGCAATGACAGATAAAGTCTCAATAAAAAACAAATTTTACAGCAAAGAAAAAACTTATGTAACAAACTCAAAATATGGTACATGTACATTTTGTTTGAAAGTATCATTTGGCCTATTCATATTCTTTTGTTCATGTAAAAAATATTCATCACATACCTGTTGCGCTTTTGCCACTCATTGAAAATGGTTTTGAAGGCTGTTGATATATTTTGATGTGACATCGTTTGCGTTATACAGAACATAACAGAACAGAACATAAATGTATTACTTAGTTTAAGCATAACAAGATCATCACCATATTACATATACAAATACAACATATAATATATAAATAACACATGACATGAACGTATATATAACTAAAACATTTTGGTTTATGAAATGTGAGAAAACGTTTTAAATATATATATACAATGCTAAAGAATGTGTCTATGTTTACCTAACATTATATAATTTAGCTACATACTTGAGAAATTCGGTAATGCCTATAATTAGAATCCACAAAGAGAAATCAACATAATGATTATGACAAATGAATGAGGATAACTTTTGTAACTTTACATAACAAATAATTTAGCATTTACTTCCCTTTAATAATTATGATGAATAACAATAATAGACTTCATTTCTGCATGCAAGTCAAGTAAAGTCAAGTCAAGTCAAGTCAGTCAGTAAGTAAGTTTTTGTTTGTTTTGGGTTTTACGTCACATCGACACAGTATAGGTCATATCGCGACGTTCCAGCTTTACTGGTGGAGGAAGACCTCAGGTGACCATCCGTGCATTATTTAAGGCACGAACGGGCACCTGACGTATATCCCGTCACGCAGAAATTTCCAAAAAATAACGCTGAATTGTGCAAATTTATATGGGGGGGGGGGGGTATGACCACTTCAAATAGGAAAAAAGGGTCTATACATATTTCACAAATTAATAAAACTAAATTAGCGCATACGGCTGTAAGGACCCTGATAACATATATACCAGATTATTTATGAGACTAACGAACCGGCTACGTATACTGTTCTGGCTTTGAAGTTTGTATTTCGCGATATTCATAAGTACAATAACGCACATTTAACCTTCCTTTATAGTATGCTTTTCTGTATACCTAACACATTTGCCGAACTATATAGCTTCATAAGATAATTGTTTTCGGCATTTATTTCTACAAGTATGTCTGATTTTGCACAATCCTGCATTATTTTAACAATTCTGCATTCTGCATGAGATATATACGACTATTATATTATTGGTGCATATCGAATCAAAGTCATTTTCTGCATCTTTCTTTCTCAAAATATTAATTTCAGTGAGAGTATAGTTCATCTTAAGTATAAGACCGGTTTTCTCATTTTCTCCCAGTTCTTTTACATTGCAATTTTAATTTTGTATACCAGTACTCGCGTGTTTTTCGCTATAATACGACTTGCGCGTCCATCCAGACTGCTGTCTTATTAAATATATTATTAGTAAGAGATTATAATAGATTTTCAAATGTCTTACAAATAAATAAAAGAGAGAAAATGTTGTCAAATACAATAAATACATGAGTTTAGAATGTTACCATGTCTCTAAGGTGTTTTAATGATTTTTGGGACATGAAAGTAACTGTTACACACGATTCTGTTAATGTTTAACTATGATTTTACAATTAACAAATAGTAACAGTAATATTATTCTTTGGCAAATCATATATTCATACATAATTTTGATTTTAAGTTTCTTCTTTTGTCTTGGTAAAATGTGATGCAGATGAAATGACCAATGGTCAAAACTATATTGGTAGATAAAGGTTTTTGTGTTTGGGCAGAGGCTAGCACTTAAGTAGAACCACTGACCACAAAAAAGCTAGCACTTAAGTATAACCACTGACAACCCATAAACTGGCAGGATGGCTTCTTTATTCTAATACATGTATATGTGAACTATAATGTTTGTTATTACTAATTGTTATGTAACTTTGATTTTCCTGTTTACTTTTCTTTACAGGAATAACTAACTTTGACTTAGTCGGAGATTTTGGAACAATGGATTGGTTGGGAAACTTTTATATCATATTTACATATAACGCCATATTTGCCGTGGCAACAGTGTAGGAGATTGACATATACGTTGTTGTTATAAACATCATGTTTATATGACTATAGTATCAATAAGAAAATCGTTAAATTGATATCAAACATTTTTTTTGCAAATGTACTTAAAGTAAATAATAATTTTGTATATTTGATATATCCATCTACTCAATTATTTCAACGTGCTAAAAAGATTCTTCAAAACAGAAATTTTATCAAGTATTAAAAACTTTATTCAGAAAGTGATACTTTTGTTAGTTTAGATTGCCATGTAGAATATTTTGTTCCTAATTATGTGCATAGAATATGAACTGTTTTATGTGTAAGGTTGTTGTATTACTGTAAATAGTTTGTTGTACATATCACTATCATATAGAACAGCATAATTAATGCTCCTATACGCCTACCAGCAGCTCGTTTTCCTCACTTGTAAATATATGTATACATATTACTTTTAGATGCGTGCCAAATATTTTTTGTTATATTTTGATAACAGAAAGTTTGTTGTTTCTTTAATAAAGAAATTGCCATGGTTTTAGTGGATTGAACAAATAACATGTTGAAGTAATTTCTTGTCAAAGTATTTTCAATAAGGAGAATGTTTGTTTATACGCAACTCTGTTTTCATTTATTTGTTGATGTTTATAATATAAGAATACCTCCAGGTTATTTTTTGAAGACTTTGTGCAATTGGTTATTACCTCATATATGTGCAAGATAATATTATCTTGTCTTTATGTCATATAGTCAATATTTAGTGAAAAAGATCAAATGGTTCTGAGAAAATGTAAAAATGCTAACACCACTTTACTGAATAGCTGCACTTTTAAGGGGAAGTAACTCTAGATTTATAAAACAAAAGTTTAAATTTAAATTTTTCTGAGAAGAACTTTGATATTTAATTATGTTATTTTCTGTGATATAACATGGAATTTTACAACATCAACGACATCAAATGAATTGCTTGTTTGGCAACCATTTTGAACAAAGCTTCTTTTATTCATTTATCATTAGTTTTTATTTGCTGAGCAGCTTGCTGATTTGATCAATGCAATCGAAGCCAGTGTACAACTGGGTTTCATCATTACCAATGTATGATTGGATTTCATCATAACCAATGTATGACAGGGTTTCATCATTACCAATGTATGATTGGGTTTCATCATTACTAACGTATGATTAGATTTCATCATTACCAATGTATGACAGTGTTTCATCATAACCAATGTATGGCTGGGTTTCATCATTACCAATGTATGACTGGGTTTCATCATTACCATTGTATGACAGGGTTTCATCATTACCATTGTATGACAGGGTTTCATCATTACCATTGTATGACAGGGTTTCATCATTGCCATAATATGACTGGGTTTCATCATTACCAATGTATGACAGGGTTTCATCATTACCAATGTATGACAGGGTTTCATCATTACCAATGTATGATAGGGTTTCATCATAACCATTGTATGACAGGGTTATATCATTACCAATGTATGACTGGGTTTCATCATTACCATTGTATGACAGGGTTTCATCATTACCAATGTATGACTGGGTTTCATCATTACCAATGTATGGCAGGGTTTCATCATTACCATTGTATGACAGGGTTTCATCATTACCATTGTATGACACGGTTTCATGACACGGTTTCATCATTACCATTGTATGACAGGGTTTCATCATTACCAATGTATGATTGGATTTCATCATAACCATTGTATGACACGGTTTAATCATTACCGGTGTATGACAGGGTTTCATCATTATCAATGTATGACTTGGTTTCATCATTACCAATGTATGATAGGGTTTCATCATTACCAATGTATGACTGGGTTACATCATTACCATTGTATGATAGGGTTTAATCATTACTGATGTATGATTGGATTTCATCATAACCAATGTATGACAATTTCCATCATTACCAATGTATGACTGGGTTTCATCATTACCAATGTATGATTTGGTTTCATCATAACCAATGTATGACAGGGTTTCATCATTACCAATGTATGACAGGGTTTCATCATTACCATTGTATGACTGGGTTTCATCATTACCAATGTATGACAGGGTTTCATCATAACCAATGTATGACTTGTTTTTATCATAACCAATGTATGACTTGGTTTCATCATTACCAATGTATGGCAGGGTTTCATCATAACCAATGTATGACTGGGTTTCATCATTACCAATGTATGACAGGGTTTCATTATAACCAATTTATGACTTGGTTTCATCATAACCAATGTATTACAGGGTTTCATCATTACCAATGTATGACTGGGTTTCATCATTACCATTGTATGACTTGGTTTCATCAAAACCAATGTATGACTGGGTTTGATCATTACCATTGTATGACAGGGTTTCATCACAGGGTTTCATCATAACCAATGTATGAGTTGGTTTCATCATAACCAATGTATGACAGGGTTTCATCATTACCAATGTATGATTGGGTTTCATCATTACCATTGTATGACAGGGTTTCATTGGTGTATGACTGGGTTTTGTCATAAACACTAGGGTTTTAACAATGTCAGTGTGGGAAAGGGTTTTGTCATTACTTGTGATGATGGAGTGTTTTATAAGTGTCAATATGTAAGAGTATTTTTATCTGTAACATTGGATGATGTGAGGATTTTATCATTGCCATAAATTCAGGATTGTTGAATTGCCAGTAAATAAAATGGTTTTATTTTTTTCAATGACTGAAATGGTTGTCATAACCATTGAGTGTGTTTTTACTGTGTGTTTGTTTTTACAGGGATGATATAATATCATTTCTTGATTATTCATTAACAGCTTTTACCAAAGATTTTACACCCCAATTAATCCTCTTGACAGCTGAATTGATATGTATTACATTGATTGATTAATTGATTGATTGATTGATTGACGATTTATTGATTGATTGAAATTTTTAATAAAGAATTAGTAAATATAATTATGTGATATGAGATGTTTGTAGTCAGTATTTAATCAAGCATTTATTACAGTTATATGAACTATTGAATAACTTATGATACACTATATATTTATAGATAGGTTAGAGGAAAACATTAGCTGGAACAATATGGTAATTAAATTAACTGTGTTCTAAGGTATAAATATACACCAAGTTTATTGTACTAAAATAATGGAAAATAAAAGCTGAGTGTATAATTTAAGATGTGCTTAAAATGTCAACAAAAATATTTGAAAACATTTTTGCCCCTTTTAGGATTTTAGTTAAGTTATTGTACCACCCAAATTTTTCCAATACCCTTTAAAGTATGGCTTTAAAACTTTGAATACTTGTTAGTTAAATATTATTATATTTCCTTCCAGGCCAGAGGACATAACTCTGTCAGTAATGTTACAAAAGTATGCCCATTTTAAATTTAGAATTCCATTTTTTGTACCCCTCTTCTTTTTTTATACCAATTGTGGTACTGCTTTTAAACTTGGAATACAGATATAGTAACCATTATCTCCACTTCGTGACAGGAGGACATAACTCTGTCAAAACTTTTGACGGTATCATTTTCTGTTTTTTACTTGGAATTTGGTTACTTCCTACTGTTGTACTTTATATTTTAATATATCACAATTAGTCTTAATAATTCCCTTCTTTCCAACATCACTTTTATCTAATGTATTCAATTGTTCTGTCCTTTTTCAATGCAAATGCATTATTTTACTTGGGAACCATACGCTGCTTTTCATGGAATGGCACTACTGTGTCACATTGAAGGTTCCATGATGACCGCCATTTGAACACATCTGACACATCTGCGGATGTTTCTTAACTCAAAATTTCACCATTACCATGATTAAATGTAGAATTCTGCATGATTAAATGTAGGGGGCGTGGACTGTAATTTGCACTTTCCATTACCGTCCATGAACAGGCTCAATCAAACCTAGTCTGCATTATTTACAATTTTGTCGTGTTGGGCTTTCTTTAGGGATTCTTTATTTCTCTCTATTTCAAGAATAAATTTTAATGACAATTTCTTATTACCCTACCAAGTAGAGCATTTGTTAGGAAAAAAATAAGAACTTATAAGAATTAAGTGCACAGCTCTTGTAGGAAATTGAACTCGTCTTTTGTCAGCTTTAATATGTTTCTTGTCCTGTCTGTTTATTTATTGTTAAACAGGCTTACATATAGTTGAAACATTCTGTCACACTAATATTTATTGTTTTATTTATGATGTTTGCTTGTTTAATTGTTATATTTTATATGTAATACATGTTTAACTTTATAACTTGAAATCCTATACTCAAATTGATATCTTAAAAATCTTTGATTGTTTTTGTTTTTTGATTAATTAAAAAAAAGAAGAAATAGTGGTAATCATAGTGGTACTAGTTTATAATTTGTCATTTGTTTTGTAGATATTTGTTTTATATCTTAATATATGTCAAGGTTTCAGAAATAATATTTGTCAAAAGTTACTTTCACATCTTATTTCAAATTATTCTTGTCTTGTATATCAGATAATATTTGTAAGTAATACTAATAGTAAACAAAATGCATTTTTAAACAATATTTGAGCCGCGTCATGACAAAACCAACATAGTGCGTTTGCGACCAGCATGGATCCAGACCAGCCTGCGCATCCGCGCAGTCTGATCAGGATCCATGCTGTTCGCTATCAGTTTCTCTATTTGTTATAGGGTTTGTAAGCGAACAGCATGTATCCTGATCAGACTGCACTGATGCGCAGGCTGGTCTGGATCCATGCTGGTCGCAAACCCATTATGTTGGTTTTGTCATGACGCGGCTCATTTGTCATGCTATGTTTAGACAATAGTCGTGTTTAAAATATTTTATGCATTTTGATTAACTCATTTTGTGTTTTCAAAATTTCTGTTCATCCATCATAATATCTGCTACATGTAGAAAATAAAACTGAAAGATTTGTTTAAAGGTTATCAAGGTTTATAGTTTTACTGTAAACTTAACACTGAGCATTATTATAAAATGTGCAATATGTAAAGTTATTTCAAGAAACTATAATAATATAAATGTATGTATATTGTCAACCAGCTGGCATTCTTGCGTATTATTTGTGTTCATGATTCTATATGACGCAATTCATTAATTACTTGGTGTGTGTGTGTTTTTTTTGTTTTGTTTTTTTCAACAAAAGCATTTACAGGTAAAATAAATTTTGTTTGAAATATCTAAATATGAGGATTAATTCATGTAGTGCAATTTAAGTTTTTATTTACAGTTTATTGTATGAAAGTATGATAAAAAACCTGTCTAACTTTCTGACAATATGAGTCTATAAAAATGTTAGGTTTATTGAATACATCATAAACAGATGTCATAATTATTTATCACTTGTTTTAACCTAATAAACATTCCAAAAAAGATAGGATTATGGCAATATATATTTTTTCTATTCCTCATTTTAGCAGGTACCTTTTAACAACTCTGCACATGACATTTGTAGCCCAGACCTGCACACTTGGTTTGGTATATAATAAAGGTGGAATAATCGGTATTGTTATCTTCACAGGTGTACCTGTACTGCTAGGTCCAGTGTCCAAGTTTACACTAGAAACAGTTGGGGTTATAACCAGGCTTGTATTGTGGGGGAGTTTTACAGCAGCTTGTAATATATAGTGATGTTCCGATTGTCGCAAGTCGCCGATAATCAGTTACTATTGTGTAAAGCGACAATAAGCGATTCACAAAAATTTGTCCCGTAGTTTTACAGCAGCTGGTTATTATCCCATAGGGCAGTAATTTTACCCTGACTGCTGGTACCCAGTCTGTGTGCCTGTTATTCTCCGTGTAGGATGGGCCCCCAGGGTTACACACGCCTAGTACTTAAAATATGCCATCCTGGCTGTGTGTAATGGGGCCCCCAGGGTTACACATGTCTAGAGCTTAAAAGATGCCATAAATAAGCAAACTTTAAGATATAGAATTATGACAATTGGAAAAAAATAAGAAAAAAAGAACAAAAGTTATGTTGAAAAAATGAAGCAGTATGTTCCAGTGAGAAAATATTTAGGCATTTTAATTAAGGATATTTGATGGGAAAAAATCTAAAACAAAGATACCATTTTAATTTGGGACACAATATAATGGAACAAGCAACTACCTATCAGATAATCAGTTTTCTGTTGGCATCTGAAAATTAACAGTTTATCTATGTATAAACACAACATATAAATCATATATATATTTATATAGTAATTATAGAAATTTTACATTGATAAGTTTTCGTGTCAACATGTTAGGACCATTTAATTACTACAGGACTGTTAAAATGTCACATCAGTTGACTAATATTTAACTTATTTATTTACAATGTTTACAACAGATGAAATATACCTTTCACCATAATCTTCAAGACAAAATAGTGCAGTGTGCGTGATTTGATGTAAAGATTACATTGTGTTAATCCCGGCTACATGTCCTCTTATATTATGTTTACATTTTTTTCAGTGTATTTTTTTTGCTTTTAACATTCAAAAACACGTTTTGATCAATGTTTTGTATGTGTTTGCTGGAGTATTACCATATTTGAATTATATATTTTTATGTTTAATTTTTGCTTGAGAATTAAAAAAAATTAATTTATATTTTTGATGTTTTTATTTTTTGTTGTAATGGTCCAATGTCATTACGTTTTGTA